GGCCGCTTGAGTTTCCAGGCAAACATAGCGGCCCGTCTATTGTGGGCACAACAGAATTCACAGCTCGCGCCCGCGCGCGCGTGGGCGCGTTGCGCGCTCAGCCACATGGTCGACATGCTCCAACCACATGTTAACTTGGAGATGCAGTCGGTCACCTCTCAGGGCCACCTTCGTTCACAGGCCAACACGGCGGCCCTTCTTTTGTGGGCAACCCAAGATTCACGACTCGCGCTCGCGCGGTCGCGCGCGCGCGCGCGCGCGGTGGCGCTTTGTAAATCGAGCCACGTAACCGACACGCTACAAACTCATGCTAACTTCGAAATCCAATCGGTCACCGCTAAGGGGCCATTTGAGTTTCCAGGCCAGGCGGCCCTTTCTAATGTGGGTAGCCCAGAAGTCACATCTCGCGCGCGCGGGCGCGTTGTACGCTAAGCCACGTGACCGACATGCTACAAGCCCATGTTAACTCGGAATACAATCAGTCACCGTTAATTGGCCAATTAGATTTTCCATGCCAACATGGTGGCCGTTGTACGGTGGAAAAAATAAAGAGTTCACAGCTAGCGCGCGCGTGGGACGACGTGTACGCTGAGCCACCTGGCCGATACGCGACAACCCCCATGTTAACTCGGAAGTTCAATCGGTTACTGCGGAGGGGCCACTTGAGCTTCCATGCCAACATAAAGGACCCGATATTGCGGGTAGTACGGCTTTCAGAGCTCGCACGCGCCGGGGGGGGGGCGCGCGCGCGCGGGCGCTATGTGCGTTCAGCCACATGCTACAAGCCCATGTGAACTCGGAATTCCAATCGGTCACCGCTCAGGGGCCACATGAGTTTCCAGGAGACAGCGGCCCTTCTATTCTGGGTAGTGCAGGATGCACAGCCCGCGCGCGCGTGCGCGCGTTGTGCGCTGAGCCACTTGGCCGACATGCAACAACCCCATGTTAACTTGGAAATCCATTCGGCCACCGCCACGGGGCCGCTTGAATTGCCAGGCCAGCACGGCGGTCCTCTGTCGTGGATGATACAGAGTTCACAGCTCGCGCCCGCGCGCGCGGGCGCGTTGCACGCTGAGCTACTTGGCGAACATGGCACAACCACACGCTAACTAGGATATTCAATCTCCTACCGCAACGGGCAACTTTTAGTTTCCAAGCAAACATCGCGGCCCTTCTGGTGTGGATAGTTCGTAAGTCACTGCTCGCGCGCGCGCGTGGGCGTCCTTTACGCTGAGCCACTTGTGCGACATGCTACAACCCCATGTTAAATTGAAAATCCAGTCGGCCATCGCTAGAGAGCCACTTGCGTTTCCAAGCCAATACGGCGGCCCTTCTGTTGTGAGCGATGCAGAGGTCACAACTCGCGCCCGCGCGCGCGGGTGCGTTGTACGCTGAGCAACTTGGCCGACATGCGGCAACCCTAGGTAAACTGGGAAAACCAATCGGCCACCGCTAAGGGGCCACTATGGCTTCCAGGCCAACATGACGGCCACTCTATGGCGTGCAATGAAGAATTTACAGCTTAATCGGCACGCTGCAAACTCATGGTTACTCGGAAATCGAATCAGCCAACGATAGGATTGCACTTCAGTTTCCAGGCAATCGTGGCGGCCCTTCTATTATGGGCAACCAAGTGATCCAGAAGTCGCAACTCGCGCGCGCGCGGGTGGGTGCGTTGAGCGCTGGACCACTTGGCCAACGTGCCACAAACCAGTGCTAACCTGGAAATCAATCCGGGGTTCCAAGCCAACACGGCGGCCCTTCTACTTTGGATCAGGGTTCGCAGCTCGCGCCCGCGCGCGCGCGGGCGCGTTGCGCGCTGAGCCACTTGGCTGACATGCTGGGAGCCACCGCAAAGGGGCTACTTGAGTGTGCAGGCCAACGTGGCGGCCCTTCTACTGCGGGTAGCACGAAAAATCACAACTCGCGCGCGCGGGCGCGCGCGCGAGGCGCCTTGTACGCTGGGCAACTTGGCCGACATGCTACAAGCCCATGTTAAACATGGAAAATACCATCGGCCACCGCTAAGGGGCCACTTGAGTTCTCAGGCCAACGTGGCGGTATTTGCATTGCGGAGAATACAGGGTTCACAGCTCGCGCCTGCGCGCACAGGCGCGGGCGCTCTGTGCGCTGCACAACTTAACCGGCATGCTGCGACCTTTTGCTAACTTGGAAGTCCGTCGGCCACTGCTAAGGGGCCACTTAAGTTTCTAAGCAAACATGGCGGCCATTCTATTGTTGGTGATGCAGAATTCACAGCTCGCGCGCGCGAGCGCAAGCGGGCGCGCGCGCGCGTGGGCCCGTTGTACACTGAACCATTTAACCAAAACGCTACAAACTCGAGCTATCTCGGATATTCAATCGGTCACCGCTAATGGGCCACTTGATTTCCCTGGCCAGCATGGCGGCCCTGCTATTGCGGGTAGAACTCACAGCTCGCGCGCGCGCGGGCGCGCTGTGCGCTGAGACACTTGGCCGACATGCTAGAAGCCCATGTTAAATTGGAAACAGAAATCGGCCACCACTAAGGGGCTGCTTGAACTCCCAAGCCACCATGGCGGCCCTTCTGTTCTGGATAACGCAGAGTGGCGGCTCGCCCCCGCGCGCGCGGGCGACTTGTGCGCTGAGCCACTTGGCCGACATGCTACGTCCCCATGTCACTTTGACAATCCAGTCGGTCGCCGCTGGGGGGCCACTTTAGTTTCCAGGACAGCACGACTGCCCTTCTTTTGCGGATAACGCAGAATTCACAGCTCGCGCCCGCGCGCGCGCGTGGGCGCGTTGAGCGCTGAGCCACTTCACCGACGCGCTACAAACCCATGGTAAATCGGAAATCAAATCGGTCTCCGCCAGGGGACCACTTGAGCTTCCATGCCAACATTGCGGCACTTCTATTATGAGTGATACAGAATTCACAGCTCGCGCCGGCGCGCGCGCGCGGGCGCGTTGCGCGCTGAGCCACTTGGCTGGCGCGCTGCAGCCCCGCGCTACCTGGAACACCCATTCGGTCACCGCCCAACAACCCCTTCGTTTCCAGGCCCCTTCGTTGCCAGACCGCTGAGAACGACGCAGACATCACACCTCGCGCGCACGCGCGCGTGCGCGTTGTACGCTCGTCCTCCTCCTCCTCCTCCTCCTCCTCCTCCTCTTCGCCCAATCCTCCTCCTCCACTTCCTCCTCCTTTCCTCCTCCCCCTCCTCATCCCCCTCCTCCTTCTCCTCCTCCTCCCCCTCTTCCTCCTCCTCCCCCCCAAAGCTTGCGCAGTCAATGTCATCATACTTCTGCTCGCCCTTTTCCTGCTACTCCCGTCGCTCCCCCCTTCTTCCTTTTAGTCCTCGTCCTCCTCGTGTTCCTCCCCCGCCTCCCCCTCCCCCGCCTCCTCATCATTCTTCTGCGCCCTGCCTGTTTCGGCAAGGGCCGCGAATGTGCATTCGCACCCGGGCGTGACCAGGCTGACCCACGAAATTCAGTTTGACGGCTTCCCCATCAATTTCTCTTCGTTACACGGAATGTTCCCGCACTTCCCTGATCAAGACATTTCGCCTGGGTACTATTGCTGGGTGGACCGTGATGGATACGAACAGTAACGAAACCAACTACGCATCCAACCGCCAATGAAAGTACACACGGAAAGCCCCACAAACACGTTTCGCACGTGGCGTTCATCGCGCAACAACACTTCCAGAAGGGCAAAAGAGGCGAAGCCTTCCCACAATAAAATCGCGATTTCTGAATTCAAGCACACACAGCCCTTCAGGGCAAAAACAACAACAAACCATAATTCTGGATTTTCCAAACCATGCCTTCGGACAAAAACGTAATTTTGAATATTGCATTTTAGTTGTGCCCCCCGGCCTGGCTGTTAGCGTTTTTGGGTGGCCCCCCCTTCCTGTAGACGGCCCCCTCACTAAGTCATTGCCGTATGAGCTTTCGTCGCCGGGGCGGGCATTTGCGCCAATGAAAGTGAAATCATGAAATCGGTTGGCAATGCGCACCGCCAAACCCCGCCCCGGGAGCGATGCAGGGGGTACTCGTACTCTGCGCACACTATTTGATTGAAGTTTTTCTCCCGAAAATCATAAGTATGCAAAACGCCATGTTAATGTTTGCTCCCTTCTGAAGTTCTGCATCAATGCGCCATCTTGGCCCGCTCGAGCTTGTTCCACGCGCAACTCCGTGCGCCTCCGGGCGCCCGTCAACAAAAAATCGCATCACATGTTACAGCGGCTACCTCAACTAAATCAACTCGTGTTTGTCGTGTCGCCGCCAATGGCGTGTACAGGAGAAATCGCCACGTCGGTAGTTGGCCATGTAGCGCTGGGGCCGCCGTCGCCTCGCGATGCGATGCGAGCGCGGCGAGAAGTGGTTCCCAAGCCCGAGCCGCCATCAGGGGGCCGCCGTCACAGCCCTCGGTACATCCACCCGCGCAGGTGGTGGCACTTTTCGGTCCGATATCGGCGTTGGCCGTGGCGTGTCCTTATAATAGCCTCATACGGCGATGGGTTTGACGACGACGACGACGACGTTGTCGTTGTCGCCGTCGTCGAACCGCGCACACCCCCTTCACCATCCCACGTGCTTTGCCGTTTCTCGCAACCCCCTTTGCCTCCACATGTAGCTGCGCTTCGGCCCAACACGCCCGTTTGTCGTTCCTCCCTCGCCTCGCACACAGTGCACCATACCAAGACTCTAAAACGACGCGCAGCGAACTTCAACTCTTGTACCTATCTGTATATGCATATATATATATACATATGTATACTACGCCCGAGAAAAACTCGAATCAGTGGATGTTTTTCGCGACAGGGAACCCGGAACCCCGGGAACCAGGATCCCACCGAAATCGGGCCCGAGCCAATAACTGGGAACCCGGGAACCCCGAACCTAGCCTGCTAGCAAAATCGGCGGGAAACGTTCGCCAAATCTTTCAAATTCCGCTGGGACCCCTTCAGTGCAAACACTGATTGGGGAATCTATGCCGCCGCCCTTTCATCGAGGACCTGGCCGGGGTCAGTGTGTACATGTGCAGACCTCGTCGCCCGACTCTCCCAAGGTAAGCGCGGCCGCAGAACCCCTCGTGCACCAGCAGCTCCTTGAAAACAGCGTCGATGATCTCCGCGGGCAGCTCGCGATCCTGGGCCGACGGGGTCCCGCGCCCCGCTGGCGGGGGGCAGGGGAGCGCTCTCATTCGGCGTTTCGGCGTCGGGCGGGAGGATGAGGGGGAGGATGAGGAGGAGGAGGAGGAGGAGGAGGAGGAGGAGGAGGACGAGGAGGAGGAGGAGGAGGAAAACGAGGAGGAGGAGAAGGAGGAACTGTCTCCGGACCTCTGCTTAATGCGCCCGTTTGCATCTGTGCGCCCTGTGGGGGAGACTCCACCTGCTTGAGACAGACGCCGAAAACAGCCAAGATCCACTCCAGGGCGGGGAGGGGAGGGGGGGGGTCAGGGCCCGCGCCGATCGGCAAAACAACGCATAAGAAAACGACGACCAGGCCCGGGCTGCTTCTCCGAGAGGGCTGAAGGGGAGGATCGATCAATCGGTCGGTAATGATGTCGGGAGGGGTCCGATCAACGGCGGGGGGTGGGGGCGAAGAGGCGTTCACCCTTCGTGCACCTTCTGGCCCCCAGCGGGGGGCCCTTCAGGACCCCGAGGGTGCACGAGAGACTCACCTCTCGATCTCGGGGGTGTCCAGGGAGGGGCTCGTCCATCAGGAGGGCTCGTGAATGGCGGCCCGAGGCTTGTGCGCGGCTCGCGGGGGGCCGAAGGGCGTGCTGAAACAAGAGGAGGGGGTCATGGACTCCGGGGAGAGCTCGTGGCCCAGGCCATGGTTTTTTTCTGTTAGCTGCGTGCTTGGCACTGCCTGTCCTGCTCTGACTTCAACTCCCTCCGGCATGCGAGCCGCAGCCCCTGACCCGGACCGAAGGAAAAACTTGTTTTGATCCGCGGGTCGAGAGCGAGCCTCTTCCGGTCGAAGCTAAGCGGGCCGCGCACAGCTTTCATTGACAGAGGGAGAAAGGCAGAAGGAGGGGCCTCACGTCAAGGCCAAGGGAGGGCAAAGCCCTGGAATCAGTCGGTGCCGAAGGCGAAATGCATGCCAAGGAACGCCTTGTACAGGAACCAAGTCCAGAGGAAAAACACAAACCTGCGAGTCTCGCTTCCGGCCGCCTTCGCGCTACCAGGGCGGCGGGCGCATCTCGGGCCCCGAGGCTGGAAGACGGCCTCCTGAGTGGACGGCCCGCCATGACACCCCCCCGTAGTCCAGGTCTCCCTCTTGGCTGCCACCGAGGATGGATGGATCGATCGGTCAGTAGCTGCCGGGCCAGGTCGGGGGCTACTTCGCATTGACGGGAGCAGTGTCGCAGTGAACGTCTAGCATTGGCTGCTGAGCGAGGAGGAGAAGAGGGAAAAGGAGGGAGACAGATGAGGGGAGCAAGCGGATGAGGAGGTACAGGAGCAATGAAGGGAGGACGATCACGACACCAACGACGCAGACCACGAGCCAGCACCGATGGAGCGGCCCAAGCTATTTGTGTCATGCAGCTTGGAAGATTGGGGGCTATCTGTACCTCTCCCTTCTCGTTCGCGTTCTCCATCCTTATTGTTCCTCGGCCGCCCATGGCTCTGGGTCTAGCCTCGAGCCTGACGAGCCTGAGCTGATTCAAAACTTCGGAGAAACGGCGAGCACGAATCGCTCGGCCGTCTCGATCTCAACGACATAGACCTCGTCACCGAGTAACGCATTTAGAACTGCGACAGACTCCAGCACAACGGCTAAATAGAACCACTAATGCTCGTGCGGTGAACAATCGCGGAATGAGCTTCACCTCGCTTCTGAAGAGAAACCCGCACACTTGATTGCTCGGGAATTGCTATCTTAAACACATGTTTCGATCGCATGGGAAGTTCCGGAAACCCTAGACTCAAACATCATGTCATCCCTTAGGGGGCGCTGGCTTGCGCTTGCCTTCCGCCAGAAGAGGCGGCCTCGTTCTACTTCGGCCGCCTTCAACCAAGGAAGAAATACCAACTCCTTCGATCCCTCGAGGGCGCGGCCTTTTCTAAAACGCCTCACATGCTCACCGAACAACTCCTCCGTGATTAGCTTCACGAGCAAATCTCGCATCGAGGTCTTACTTCGGTTCCTCCGCCACGTTCGTGGCCCTCCAAATGTTTCCTTCTACTGGCACCAGCACTCCTGGGCTTGGTGGCGGACAAACGCAGCGGCGCAACTTGCTGCCGAGACAAGGCGGAGCTGGAGTGGGCAAGCCCGATGCTTGGGTGGCGCGTCTGCGTGTTGTGGCAGGTGTTTCTTTCGCATGGGGGAACCAGGCGGCGGCGTCTCTGACCTCAGGGCTGTGGCTGCCTGCCAACCACATACGACCCCGAGTCAAGTGCAGCATCCGCACGACGACTCCAGCACCACCATAGCTGGCCACTGGGTGAGGAAACTGTTGCAGCGTGACAGACATCGATACTGGGACCAAAGCGTCTTCCTCCACTATCACCTTCCGTCCTCCTCGTCTTCGCCCTTTATCCTCCTCAAATGTGCCCGCGCGCTCCATACTGTACACGGAGTCGAGCATAGCGGAGACCATGGCGTCGAAGTGCTCTGGCCTCGGGGAGACGATGGAATGAAGGGGGGGAGGGCAGGGGAACGTCGGCCGCGGCAACTACCAGCCGCCACTCTTCAAACGAACCCACAACGGCCCCCCCAAAAACCCAAATCGCTCCCAACCGGAAACTCAAACTTAGACCCGCGAGCGGACGAGGGGCCCCCGAGTGCGTGCTGGAATGATGGACCGAACAGCCCGCCCCCTCCCGAGCATCCGTCGGTACACGCGGCAGCACGAAATCAAGGGCGGCGAGGAAGGTTCTACACTTCTCCCTTAGTCTGTTACCCACGCGTGCATGCCAGAACCGAAAGGGGCACCTGCGCATGAAAGAGCGGGAAGGGTACGGGGATCATTCGCACCCCCCGCTCGGGAACCCGTCCCAGGGAACGAACATGCAAGGCGCGTAGGACGGGGCTCGGGAGCGAACAGAAATGCACCCCAGTCCTAATCTGTATGTAATCCGTTCTGTAAGTCCCCAATCGGCAATGCGCGGTCAGAAAGGACCACCAGTCACGACGCCTCCGCAACCACCCGTAGCGCAACCCCCCCAAAAACCTTTCCACCGCCGACGGGGGTGGAGGAGCGTGAGGGGGTAGGCGGAGCAAGGGAACTGAGAAATCAGGCGGGCGATCGCGTCGCTCCTCAAACCAGATTCGGCCAGATGCGGGTCCGCGGCACAGTTTTTTTGCGGGGGATCGCGCAGCTCGGCGAACCCGACTCGTACGGATTGAAATCACATGCACCAACTACACGCACGGATCGGATCATACCGAGAAGCGCATTACAGGAATTAACATGCAAACCAACGGACGTAGGCAGCCGCGGAAATCGGCAACGCGTGAGCAGCGAGGTCAACCGGATTTGGTTGTCTCATGTCTCATCTTCTCTAACATGTGTACTACGGAATGTGTAAGCGCGGGGGGCGCGCCAAATTCGTGCCCCGAAACTGCACATACAGCAACGCGATGGATCACCCACTGACTGTCACATGTGCAATGAAAAGACGGTCGATCACAACATTGTTCCATGATTGCGCAGCCTGCAAAGCAACCAAGTCCCTTTGTCCATCCTCTATGCTGCAACTTGTCGTATATGACACACAAATGTTAACAGCGCGAGCACAACGAGGTTGTTTGTGTGATTGAGTTCTGCGAATTAAATGTCGAAGCATTGTGATCATCAGGTCCACTCTCTTTCAATATATCTGGGATCCACAGTGTTGTTGTGTAACGAAGTAAAGACTGCGGCATCCAAGGCGCGACGTTCGAGACACAACACTTGCAAATCTCATGCGCGAGAAAATCTGCGGATCAAAGTGTTTCACTGTGGAAATACTGGCGGACACTCCCTGGCACCATCGGGTTGTCAGCAGGTTCATGGGTGCCCCGCTCATCGCAGCGGCAGCAATCACAGCCGCGCCGATGGTCAATGCACATCCACTTGTTCCAGGTCGCATTTCGATTTTGCGCGCCCCACTGCGCTCGCTTGACCATGTCCTCGGGGTCCCGGGGGCGGCTTCTGGCCATCGCTCGGACGTCCATTCCCTGTTTTTTGTTCGGTTTCGTGCGTGTTTTTTTTTTCGCCAAATGATGAAGGATGCTCCTCGATGGTCCTCACCGAAGGAAAAATGCACCCGTCCGAGCGATGCCAAGCCTTGGCGGCATCGTCGGGCGACGCGGTGGCGCGGTTGAAACGCGCGCCTTCCTGCGATCCCTGCGCGGGAAGCTCGCGGCTGCCCTCGGCGCGATGGGGCGGCGGCCGCGGCGCCCTCGGCGGCGCGGCGGCGGAGTGGCGCCATCGGCGGCGGAGGCCGCCGCGGAAACGCTGGCAATGCCGCGCGAGCCAAGGCACCTCGGGGTGCGATCGGGAGCGGCAAAGAGGGGGGCGTCCAAGAGGGGGGGGTGTAAATCATGACCGGCGGCATGTGCGCGGCCCAGCGGGGGGGCCAGGGACGTAATGAAGTAAGAAGAGGCGCCATGAGATCTGGGGAAATATCATGGCCCACGCCATGTTATCCTCCCCCCCCCCTACTCATCACCCCCCTCTTTGCCGCCCCCGGTGCGAGGCAGAATTGCTGGGCGACCAGGCCCGCCCCCATGTGATCTCCCCTTCGGGGACCCCCCCCGGGGCAGCCCGGGAAGACGCGGTGGCACGCGGCGGCGCGGGTGAGCGCCCCCTGGAAGGCAAGACAGTCTGCCCCCGCGAGCGGCGGCGGCTGCTCGGGCCGGGCGAAAGGGGGGGAAAGCAACGGGGGGGGGGTGAGAATCAGCTCTCGTGGCTGATTTTCCCGGCGCCACCCGGCGCCAGGAGGCGCGCATTGCATCGAGGAATGGGCCCGGCGGCGGGGCAGAAACCAGCTGCATGCATGCAGCAAATTTCGTTCGGCCCGAGCTGCCCCGGTGTCGGATCCGGGCGGAAGCCGCCGATGGCCTGGCCCGCGGCGCACAAGGCCGGGCGATGAGGCCCCCCTCGGCCAGCGCAGTCGCGCGGCCCCGTCCCTGGCGGCCCGCCGAGGCCTCCGCGTTCGGATTCGAAAGCGCTCTTGGATAACGCTGCAATGCTTAAGTCGGGCCTGTCCTCCTACAGGGGGATTTCGACGGGAAATAAGAAATACCCCCAAAATACACCAAAAAGGTATAAAAATACTCGAAAGTAGTCATCATATTATTTTTGGACTATTTTTGGGGTACTTTTTATGCTTCGTCGACAATCCCCATGTAGGGGGACAGGCCCGACTTAATGCAATGCTTGATTGCGTGGCCGGCCCAAGGAAGTAACCCTCGTCTGATGCGGCTCTCCGTTTTGTCGCTGTAAAAAAGCGCGAGGCCCCGGCTCAGGCGGTCCATCGGGTCACACCGTGGCCAGACGCCGTTGCCGCTGTCAGCGCAAGCTTTTTCGGCGATGGCGTCGGGCGGATATAGCCGCAAGGGCAGGCTGCCCGGCAAAGCTGCTGGCGATGTCCGCTGCGTTTCTGAACATCTTTCCTCGTCTCTTCTGATCACCTCCCCGCCGAGGGGGGGAGGAGGAAGAGGAGGGGGAGGAGGAGGAGGAGGAGGAGGAGGAGGAGAGGAGGGAGGGAGGAGGAGGAGGAGGAGGTAGGAGGAGGAGAGGTGGGAGGAGGAGGAGGGGAGGAGGAGGGGGAGGAGGAGGAGGAGGAGGGGGAGGAGGAGAGGAGGAGGAGGAGGAGGAGGAGGAGGAGGAGGAGGAGGGAGGAGGGAGGAGGAGGAGGAGGAGGAGGAGGGGAGGAGGAGGAGGAGGAGGAGGAGGAGGAGAGGAGGAGGAGGAGGAGGAGGAGGAGGAGGAGGAGGAGGAGGAGGGGGGGAGGAGGAGGAGGAGGAGGGGGAGGAAGGGGAGGAGGACGAGGAGGAGGAGGGAGGAGGAGGAGGAGGAGGAGGAGGGAGGAGGAGGAGGAGGAGGAGGAGGAGGAGGAGGAGGAGGAGGAGGAGGAGGAGGAGGAGGAGGACGAGGAGGAAGAGGGGGCGGCGGCGGGCGCGTGCCGACCATTGGGCGTCAGGGTCTTCGAGGCGCTCGACGACGGCCGGGGGGGCTTTTCACGGGCCCCCCTCCCCGCCATCTTGAGACGATGGCGATGTCCTTTCGGCCGAGCGGGGCTCCGCGGGCGGGCGAACAGAAGTCGCGGCAATCTCTCCTGGCCATCGCTAGGACGTCAATTTCCTGTTTTTTGTTCGGTTTCGCGCGTGCTTTTTTTTTCGCGAAATGATCAAGGATGCTCCTCGATGGTCCTCGCCGAAGAAAAATGCACACGTCCGAGCGATGCCAAGAACAGAAGTCGTGGCAATCTCTCTCGCTGCGACTCAGCAGGGGCACCCGCGCGCAACTGTCGCGCCGGAGCACAACAAGTTGGGACTTTGGGATCGCCGATCCGCCTTCTCCGAGGGCCGATGGGCGCGGGAGAATCCGGGCCTGCGATCGAATGGCCTGCGTCGGCAAGGACCGATTCGGTTGTCACAACAAAGGTGGCCCGCATGATCTCAGGCTGATCGGCATCGATCGGCGCGGAGGCAAGACCCGTGGAACTTCTGAGCACCTGGCAAGAGCTCAGGCCCAGATCCTGCGCGGATCCGCGCTGCGCCCATTCGTGCGCGGATCGTCCTGGCGGCGCGCAAGCGTAGCCCCGAGGGCGTTTCCCGGGGGACCCCGGGTGTCGAGATCGTCCACACCACCTTCTGACAGCTCGATGTCATCGGCTGCAGGAACTTATTCCCGCGTCGGGGCGTGGAATCTCCCGTGGGGGATGAGTCGCATGCGGTGTTCATACATGAGTCCTGGGCGGCCGCCCCGCAGCATCACGTCGTCACCGAAGTCCATCTCGGCGGTTCCTGCATGGTGATAGACGCAACACCAAGCCAAGAAACAGCGCCAAGGAATGGAATCATGAACGCACTGGAGCCCGGCAAGATAGCCTCAGTGAGCGCCTAGTGATCACGTTGGGTTGGGGAAGGGTGAAGCGGAACAACCTGACAATGGGGTCGCTCCGCGCGTGGAACTTACATGCCGACGCGACGTGCTGCCGGTCGGGGAAGAGGAGCAGCATCACGCACTATCTCATCCAAGCCAGAGCTCACCACACCAATGCCCATGGAGCACCGTGCAATCAACATTCTGGAGCGGTCTCTGGCTGCCAATGCGGCAGCAAATGTAACCCACCCACTCTCGGCGGCAACTCTCGGAAGAGATGGCCAAACTTGTGGTGGTAGCACATGCTGCGTACATCGGCGTTTCCGAGACTCGACATGCGCGGACAGACCACCGCAAACTGTCTCATGGAGGGTCACACAGCATTGCAGAACTTGCAGTTGCGTCCAGCCGGTCACCTCCATTCTGAAGAGGCGGCGCCGCTCCGATCAATAGACAGCAGAAATATTCCTTGGTCGCCGAGACCTCGGTACCATTTGGTGAACGCCTTCGCACTTCATGTCTCGACGTCGACATCGTCGACATCCTCAACGCACTTTCGACGGCGGACAACCGTCTGCAAGC